AAAAAATATTACATACTTATAATTTGTACCAAGGAGCTGTCAGTTATAATGAACCTTTCGTAAATCCACAGATACAATAAGAATTCCATCATCAAGAATGCCTTCAGCGCACTTTCGGCACTCTTGTCGTGCAGACATCAACTTCAAGTTATGTTTCTTCCACTTTTCGCAGGTTTTGCAGTCCTGAACTGTATTTGTTCCTTTCAACACTGTGATGGGTCGAATCTTTGTGAATATTGAAAGCCTCGCATTTCCAATACTCCTTGTGTCCGAGTTTTGTAAAATAGTCCGGTCAACTTAAACATTCGAAGCAACCTAAATTCCAACAAAGCTGAAAATCAGTACGATTGTTTAAAATATTATTTAAAATAAAATTTGAGAGTTCCGTATCTTTCCCCTGTATGGAAACAAATTTATTCAAGGTCAANCTAAGTTTTTTGTGAAGTATTCCGCAAATAGATTAGATATTTTGCTTTCATCAGAGATTTTTTTATCATCAATAGTCAAAGATATACTTTTTGTTGTAATATTATTTTGATGAGTTTTGATTTTTACTAATTCCCAAATTTTTTTGGTTTTATTGTCCGAATCGTTTATAATATTCCGATAGAACTCTCCTTTCTCTTTTTTTATCCTTTTATTAAGTTCATTACGAATAGATTTATACCTGATTTCTACATTCTCGTCGTGCGATAATTTTCTCATCCAGTTCAATTGCCTCAATGAATCCATATCTTTTTGAGACCGTTCACTGAGATTGAATTTCATTCGGTTCTGAATTGTACCCTTACAGGCGGGGTACTTTTTTTGGGGGTGAGATAAAAGCAATTTAAGTTGAAAGAAGTAGTGAAATTCAATCGTCCGAGTCGTAACTTTCAAATTCTCCTTCTTGTTCTTGATCTTCTTGTTCTTGTTCTTGATCTTCTTGTTCTTGTTCGTCTCGTTCTTTTTGTTCTTGTTCTTCTTCATCATCATCCTGAGTACTTGTGAACTGCGTTGGTGATTCAATATTAGAGCACGACCGGCCTTGACAATGTGTACACGCTAGAGAACGAAACAGTCCGGCTTTTTTGCAACCACATTTAGCACTGCGCCCCTTTTTGTAGTTGCAAAAATTGTGTTCAGCAGTTTTTCCGGCGCAGGTGAAAGTAAAGTTTGGACTGGTTCTGATGAATTGTTAATCAACTTCCAACCCTAGCCTGTAGGGTCTAGCTGATAACCAAGCCACATTTGAACTTGACAATATACCCAAAAAAGATGTTGATGTGCAGCCACGCACACAATTGAACAGGGGACAGATGTTGTCTCACGGTTACAATGGCGTATAAGCTAAGACACTGGGTTTCATTCTACCTGATATTCTTATATAATTATAACTTATTGTGGAATTGGCCGCGGTGGTAGTGCGTCCGACTCACGATCGGAAGGTCGTGTGTTCGATTCAATAAGTGTAAGTTACAATGACCGATAGAAAAATAGTTTAACATATATTAAAAACTACAGAGATATATACGTGGCGTACTCATGCATATTATGACGATTACATCTTTTACAACTTTTTGAATCGTTATATCTCAAAAACGGAGGCTCGAAGGAAAAAAGTAAGAATATATTTTTTTTAGATAATTTTATGATTGGATTTTTGTTTGGAGTATTCTCATGATGGAACTCACCGTTTTGCTGAAAAAACACGACCCGCAGCAAAAAGCTTCTGCTGCTCATTGGTTAGTGACCAAAACTAAGTATTGATTTTTTTTACCGTACAGCCGGTATTTTCTGCATACATTCCTTTATGCAGCTACATGAACCTTTTACGTTGTTTGCGTTTATGTAATTATCTTTTTTTTTAATTTCTTTCTTTCCAAAGGGCCAATGCTGAACTTTTTCCTCATCCTGAGCTTCCTTTTTTCCTATATGTTTCTGTTTCCGCAATGTACATCGCTGAATCTACAACACCTTGTGAAATCAGTGCCCTTCTCGTTCAAAAATATTTCTTCATTACCATCCTGTTCTTCGATGAAACATAATTGACTGAAGTCGCAGTTATCACATTTGGTGGACTGAGTATTATTATATTTGACATGAAATTGATTTCTTCAGTGCTGCACGAGTGTGGTAAAGTTTATTTCAATTTCAGCTACGTCACATTTCAAATCCGAATTCAAGAATACTTGGTCTAAAATATCCGAAAATACAATATTATGAACAAATGCTTCTGTCGTATCAATCTCATCATTTTCATACAGCTCTGTTTTGTCGTCGTAATCATTGTGTTCCTTTTTTTTTCCGTTTCTTACTTTCGAAAGGATCGACTTTATGTCTAAATTCCTTATTCAAAGCCATTGAAATCATCTTTTTGCTACGGCTGCTCGCCATACAATTTAATCTATTAGTGATGCATTATAGGTATGTAAATAGTTATGTGGAACAATGAAATCAAACTTACACCTTGTGAAATTAATAATGCCAAATAACAACCACTCATCGGGTTCATTCACGTAAATAGCTAGAGTATACAAAGAGCTTTCTAACAGTACCCATATCACAAAACTGTAAATTTTGCAGTTAGAACATGTATTCTTAGGACGGCAATATACTACTGGTAGGAATGAACCTCAATATCCATATTGGGTAAACCAATGTTACTGCTCAACCAATAATTTTAAGTGAATAATTGTTCTATTTTAGCATGATCATCAACTTTCCAAGGTAAATTAGTGTCGCTCTTTCAACAACAGAGATTCGGATGTGCATGGCTCCATTGAAAGTGATACACTCTTTAGATTGAATCACAGCTCCGACATAGGATTGTGTTTATTGTGTATGGCAAAACACATGCCTGTAGTTGAATCATATTAGATTTCAATTGGAAAGTTTCAAATTGAATTTTTTAATACGATGGCTATCACTGGTGAAGTATGTTAATTATAAATGAAAATTTGGTTATATTTTCTGATTTTCCAATGAGATTCAAATAACTTGAGAAAATGATTATGTTCTTCACTCCATGTTATCCTAGAACTTCTATGAACTTATGAGTTATGTTGTTGGTGATTCTCCCTAGCTGAAACAACAGGCATACCACTAGCATGTGGCTAGTGGAACTTTGCATATTTGCCACTGTGGTTCTTCTCCTCGAGATATCAGGTATGAGTAAGCCTGGTGTGTTCTATCCGAAGTCTAATCAGTATTACTTGTTCTCTCCTGTTCAGAGTTCCGTTTTTCCATGATCCTATTGTTGGTTTGTGTTCATTGAGTTTGGATCGTGTACCTCACCATTCATTGTTTCAGATCTTCTTCAGCAACCTTTTCATAAATGGTTTGAAATCTGTGTGAAAGGTGAACTGTGAGTCTCCCTGGTTCGAGTTCATGATCGCCTCTCGTACTCTTCGATCAGCTGATTCGTTACCTGTTGTATTTTCATGTGAGGGAACCCAGAGTAATGCAATGTGTGTATTAAGCATCTGCCTAACGTAGATTTTTTGCAGTGAATTTTAGCTACTGAGCGAATATGAGTTCACCAAGAATTTCCTTTGCTTCATCTGATTTCGCATAACGAAGTACTTGAATAATGGCAAAAAGTTCTTCTGTAACAATTATTGCTGTCTATGGTACTTTGGAAGTTAGTTTTGTATGATGAAATACCACGACAGAACCTACACCTAGATTTGTTTCAGATCTGTGTACATCTCTTTGAAGATTCCATATCTGGATAACGATGTCCTCACTTGTATCATTTTCATGAAACTGGGATGAGTGGTTGTTGTATATGGGTACGTTTATTCATGGTGGTTGAATGACGATATTAAATTTGATTCTGTATGAATATTTCTAGGTTACTGATGTGTTTCCTATCACGAACAGTATTATATCATCAGCATATAACCTTGCCTGGATACGGTTTTGATGATTATGATATATCATTTTGAGTGCCATTGAGAATAGAGTTGAGTTGATGATCAAGCTCTACGAGATGCCGTTAAATTGATAATTCTTTATAATTCTTTCATCGATAGCTTCTATCAATGAAAAATCCCAGATGATGTAAACCTTTCTGGTCACAGTGTATGAGACAGATAAAACGTTATCTCAAAAAGTACATTGCAGGACAGAGATGTATCGCAAAGCAGTTTTGTATCAAATGAATATATAACTACATCATCAGGAAACAAGACTCCAACGAATTGAATTATTTCCATTTTGAAAACAATTGTATTATTTCCCAAGAATCCAATCTCAGACAGAAACTCTCATTATATTATGCTCCAGAACACCCAAAAGGACTAGATAATCAAAATTTCTGGCTGGAAACGAGAAAATGATATTTTCAGTTCATTTTATGAGGTACTTGGAAGATAAGTTTTCCAGAAACATAATATTTTGTACATTCAATGCTATAATGAACATCCATTGTTCTTTTGAAAGTGGACGAAATCAATTTCAGAAATTTAATTAATTTGTTCTGATATGTGTCAGAGTCAGATAGTATGAAAAAAGGTATGTTCTGAAATTAATTGATTTCTTTCTTTCTTCGAGAGCTTTCCCACATATTTTCATGTGAAGATGGAGAAGTAGATAACCACAACCTCTCTTTGCATGAAGAGTTTACTTGAAATGTATTGCTTTCTTTCTTCCTCTGGAAGTTTACCATTTTTTTTGTATAAAGATGGAGACGTAGAAAGCCAAAACCTCTCTTTTACAAAAACTAATCTCTTCAAAAAATATTCTTTCAGCACCCTTGAATACATTTCAATGAAAAATCGGGTGGAATTGAAATAACCTTTTATTCATTATCGACTTTTTTTCACAAGTACATCTTTGAAAAAAGCAAAAAAGAATTATTAAAATATTTTATTATATTCTTATTCGCTTGAATACTTTGTGGCTATATCCTGTACGCACACTTACGTGATTACGAATAACTTCAACGTGAAGTGGAAAGAAACGATTGTGCTTCATGAATTCTTTTGTAGTATAATAAACAGAGACAGCTGCGGTCATTGGAGAGTGAATTTCTTTGCAACTTAACCAACAGTCAACAAACTACTCGTTATTCCAGTCAGGTTGACGGCAAGTGCCCAATGCCGATCTAAATTTTGATGTTTTTAATTATTTATTCGATACTGAACATCAAAATGGTGAACCGGTAGTGGTTTGTAGTTTGTGCATCTGTGAACATACAGAAACTGAAGGTGAGAAAGTGTATTTATTTCCAGCAGTGTTTTCTCGTTGATATCGTTACCATCAAACAATAAACTGTTAGAAAAATAGGCATTATATTTAAAAAGTCGACTACATTTATCAAACGTGCGTCAAGTGTCAATGATTTATAATTTTTCTGAAGATTTCAGTCAGTATTATTTCTCTCAAGTCTTTCACTTACCAAAAATTGATTTATTTCAAAAATATAAATACCCCTGAAAATTTTGTCTCAACTTGATTTTATTAAAAATATATTTCCGACTGTTTATATGTTGATAGATAATTGAAAAATTATGCCTTTTTATGTTGTTCTCTCTTTTCTTATAGCAGAATTGAAATAAGTATTATGTATAAATTTCACATATTTCCAATAAGGCAAAAAAACATGTTTCTCTCAGTGTCAAGTAATCAGAATAAATGTGAGGAATTGGGTGAATTATCATTTAGATATTCCCTAGAGAGCTATTTCTGTGACATTTTATATTGATGGTATTTCATATTAATTTTCGTTCACTCAAAAAATTTCCAGCAAACAATATGTTTCAATTAATTGGAATCATTTTGAGAAAAAAAGTGATGTTGGTGTCACTCACGGTTCAACATGAAAGTTGTTATTTGAAATGGAGATTCTGTTGCGTTCATAGTTTTTTCTTTATTCGCAAGATATTCTGGAGAAATTAAAGAGGCATTAAACTGTAAATTTGAGATTCAATCATCCATTTATGAGCTCATGTCCATGAATATAATTCAAATTGTTATATTCATGAAAAATGATATTAAGGATGATTGAAAGAATATAATTTTTTTGGGAATCATTATATCCTAAACTTTATTTTAGAGAAAAAAAGTAACTTATATTTCCAAGTCGATGAACTGTGATCGAATTGTTTCGCGAAGTTTACTTCAAAACCTCTTAGATGACTGTAGCACACGGAATAATCAATTTGGAATAATGAAATTAATGCATGAATACTTTATTTTGAAGTAAAATTAACAGATGAAACTTTCAAGATGGCGACTGGGCGCCATCTGGGGAAAAATAAATGGAAAGGGAGGTCTTGTTACACATCATTTTGAAGCTTCTGACGGATACTTCACAACCCTAGAATATGAAGTCGATATCTTCACCTAGTACAAAATGGCGAAACATTCAATAATTTCCGGAAGACAAACACATTATTATTTCCAAAAATATTCCTTTTTATCTGCCATTGGTGGGATGGTAGTAAATCCTGAACAGTCTACTTATTTCGTCGCGAATGTTTGTGAGGTGTCTCCTTCTACTGTGTGGAGACTGTTGAAGAGGAATAGGTATCATCCGTACAAAATTAAAATGTTACACCAATTAATTGAAGATGAACGTATCTCCAATAATGAAAAAGTTATCAATGATATTCATTACATTTGGTTATGTGAATATAAGTTAGAAAACTTTGTTAAACGGTCTTATTGGAAAAAAAATGATGATGTAGAGATAATGTACTGTAAGCTTAAAAAATAATTCGGAAGGTTCTAGGTAGCAGTCATCACACCACTCTCCTCAGCAATATACGGTATTAATCAGATAAAAAGATAATAAAATAGCTGGGCGTAGTACTTACATATTTACTCAGGTTACACTACGCCCAATAATTTTATTATTTTTTCATTTGGTTTATACCGTAGTTTGCTGATGAGAGTGGTGTAATGACTGCTAACTTGAATCTTCCGTATTATTTCTCAACTTTCACTACATAAATATTACTAGAATTTTTTCCCGACACCAAACCGTTATTTCAACAACTCGACACGTTTTTCGATCACCAAGTGATCATCTTCAGAAGGAAGATCAAACTAATCATACTTACAAAGTTATCTTCATTAATACCATAGATACCTGTTCTAAGTACCTACATCTTAAGTGTCTTAAATTAATTTCGCAATATTGCCTCATCTACTACTCTTAAATTAATTTTACATAGTGTCCCTATGTAATAGTTAGGTGGATCTAATAATTAAAATATTATTCCAACGAGCTATATACTATACTATTAGGTATTGGTCCACCATCGTTATTCATAATATCATAATGTTAACCTATTTCTACACTCTCATAGGCATCTAGTTGCCTATTGTTGTCAACTTGTCTAACTAATATTAATAAACAGAAGTCTATGGAATGGTTCTGTTGCAAAATATGATGAGCGACTGCTGATTTTTCATGTCTTTCATTTTTTAATTGTGCTAAGTGTTCTTTATATCTCATTTCAATAGATATTTTTGTATGTCCATAATATTTTGCATCACATTCAATTTCGTAACTTCCAGACTTTTCCAAATTCACGACTTTGTCTCTTAGGACTTCCTAAAAATCTCTGTAGATATGACTCGTTTTAAAAACCACCTTTATACCTAGTTCTTTGAAAATCTTCATAAAGTTTTTCGTGTATTGGTGGTATGGAATTGATTCATATTCATCTTGGTTTTTGCCCTTTCCAAAACTCGAGAATTCGTTCATTTTTAACCTAAACTTCTTCTTCTTTATTATGTCATCTACAATACCCCACGAGAAACCGTTAGTGGCTACTGTTTCCTGTATTTTACGTTTTTTTTTGAACCTCTCATGTATTAGAGGAAAAGTCAAAAGACGAAGCACTGAAAATTTCAGTACAATATCTATAATATCAAAATCTATAACAATGAAACCGTTCAACATACATTTTTTTTTACTTATTTTATTTTCGAATTTTCAGTTTCTAATTTTTATCCACCCTCAAGACAGACAATTCTCGGCACATTCAAACCTTCAACCTTAGCTACCCTCATGTCACACAGTCCTCGACACGATACAAAATCTCAACTGAGTGAGAGATCCATGCTTGTATCCCGATTCTAAGTTGACAAAACTTTTTTTATCAAAGAATTTATGGGATTTGCATCTTTTCAAAGTCTACTACTATCCTACTAGTCAGGCCCTCTCATTTGATACCCATATTGGGGTAGTTTTGAAAAAATATATAATCCGCCATTTCGTAGCTGCGGCCATCTTGGAATTTGATTTTCATCAAAACTAAATATGTGTAACAAATATTAGGTCAATCTGTCAACAAAAAAGGGGTCAAACTTCAATTACTAAATTTTACCCAAACAAACAGGACAAGCTAAATAAAACCATTGAAAAATCATCGTACATAGTCGATATCCTAACCAGAAATTAATGTAAATCTTGAGCATATTGATGCAATACCGCAGATCATACAATAACGTTCGACTTGAACGTTTCGTGAAATAATCATTTCGATTATCTCATACGGAACGAACTGGTTTTTTGAACAAGTTGTTGAATAATAATGGCCTAAATTACATAACGTAGACTCGCCTTTTCGTCTTATGACCATTATCTGAAACGAAAGTGACCTAAGTTTATGTAATTATCAATGACATACCAAGTTCTTTTTGAACAGGGAGATTGGATGAAAGGAAAAAAACACGTATGAATCATTACCAATGTAATGATTCATACGTGTCACCAATTTCACCAGGGGGAGATGCATACTTCCCGTTTTATGAAAAGGGGGTAACGAATTCGTACCTTTGAGCGATTTGAAAAGTTATTTTTGAACTATTATTTTAATGTTATAATGAATTAAACTATTGAAATGAAACTGTCAAAGGATTTGGAATGATTATGATACGTTTGTCAAAAACTGATTATATTTTATCTTCAACGTACACACTGTAGTACCATGGAATGTAATATTCTAATAAAATCTGTCGTGACTCATTCTGAAGTTAGTTCTTTTAGTTGATGTAGTGATATTTTCATCAGTAATTTATTTTCACTTTATAGCAATTACAAATCAATTAGCGTCTATTTGGCAACTGTATAATTATGTAATTCAGCTTGTTATTCGTGTTAGAAGCCCATCATATTTTGTGGAAACTTTCACTTTCAATACAATCGATATTCACGAGTCAACGTACTGGAATAATGAATAGCACGGCGGAATTTTAAACGGCAGATTCGTTTCAATCAGATTAGGAATATTTAAAGAAAATAATAAATAGTATGGTCGGTCGGTAGCCAGGCGGTTCGACGTGGGTGCTTTGTTCACTCGCTAGAATGGGCTCATTTACCAAATTTTTTTATTTCATTATTTGAAAGTTCATACTTCAAATAGTACATCTGCAAAAAATCTGAATTTTCACTCTTTATCTTCCCCTTCAAAATAATAGTTGAATATGGCGTTCACCGAATCAAGGCGTGGTCAAACTTGACGTCTTATCAGCCGCCAGTGCTGGCGGATAAGCAAAATACATACGTGTTCTGAAGCCGTAGAGAGCAAGTTGTGTGTTGTTTACTGCAGTGTATCAACTGCGTGAATATGTAACACGTGGTGTTTTCAAACCAGTCAGCAAATGAAACAGAATCCGACGATGGCAGCGATTCATAATCTCCAACTACAGGCTTGATTGCCACCGCTCGAAGCTCATTGCTTGGTGTGACGTCAGGATGTACCGCGGGCGATATCACGTTTTCAATAGCTCAATAGCAGTTGTTAATTGACATAAAAACCGAAAAATTTTGTGGGATACTTGGGAGATGACTTACTTTTATAATATATAATTTTCAATGAAAAACTAAATTAGCCTGAATGAGCCCAAAACCGAAGTTACAATATCAACGAACCGTAAACATGAGCTATCCTCATTTTTTACTATGCAGATTTTTAAACAGATGCAGTAACAAACATATCCTCAAAGATTTACCGTTTAGAAGGTAGTATTCTTTCCACGAAATCGTTTCAAAAATATGCATGTTGTGTCCTAATATCGGAGTGCTAAATTCAAAACTGCTTGACTGATCATGGAGTAACGATTCCATTATCCGGTTCAACTGTTGTAACTGCATTGTTCATAAGGAGACTCAGAACTTAATACAATATGTAATACGTGTATTTTGAACAAAGAGCAACAAAGTACCTACGTCTACATTGTTTTGAAACCAGGA